CCGACCCGCCTGTCTCGCCAGGGGACCGACGTTCTCTGCGCGCTCGGCTCTGCCCTGCGGGACCCCGGCCACTTCCGCGACCCCGAGCGCTTCAACCCGGGGAACTTCTTGGGCGAGGATGGCCGCTTTCAGAAGAACCCGGCTTTCATGGCCTTCTCCGCAGGTACCAGCGTCTCTCCCCGCCTCCGCCCCTGCCCCGCACGAGGCCTCGGTCCCAAACCCCGAACAAATTCACCCGGCGCCGGCAGCTTCGCTGGGACTGGTAAGAACAGGAGAGCGGCCCATCCAGCGGCCAACGCCAGGTGCCCCAGAGGGAAGGAACAGAACAGGGAATCAAGTGCCCCCCCCCCATCACCCATTTCCAGCTTCTGACAAACCGAGACCAGGGCCATTCCCTGCCCGTCCTGGCTAATAGCCATTGCTAGACCTAAGCTCCATGAATCTATCCAGCTCTTTTTGGAACCCTGCTAAAATCCTGGCCTTCACAACATCCTCCGGCGAGGAGTTCCACAAGTTGGCTGTACGCTGCGTGAAGAAAAACTCCCTATGGTTTGTTTTAAACCTGCCCCCTCTTCATTCCATTTGGGTGACCCTTAGTTCTTGTGTTCTGGGCACAAGGAAATCACTTTTCCCTATTCGCTGTCTCCACCCCGGGCGTGATGTTGTAGCCCTGCTGCCAGGAGCTGAGCTCTACGCGTGGAAGGGACCGAGCGCCCTTCCTGGGTCTGTGGGACAGGCCGGATGGGTACGTTTGTCTTTGTTTCCCCAGGGAAGCGGATCTGCCTGGGCGAGGGCCTGGCCCGCCTGGAGCTCTTCCTCTTCCTCACCACCGTCTTGCAGCGCTTCGCCCTGACCTGGCCCGGCGACCCCCAGGAAATAGACCTAACCCCGCAGGGGAGCGGGTTTTGGAACCTCCCTCCTGAGTACCAGATCTGTGCGGTGCCGCGCTGAGGAGGGAGCTCGCCGGCGGGGGGGCAGCGAGCAGGAGACACATCCGACGGCCCTGGGCAGGCCTGTGCCAATGAGGAAGCTGTCCCAGGCAGCGATCTCATGTACAGGTCTGGGCACGGGACGTGTGGCTGCTTTTTGTAACGCCCGCGGAGCTCTGACGTCCTGTCCTGTCCCGGCACGGAGGGGCCCTGCGAGGGAGCAGGCGCGTGGCTTTGTGCTTGCAGAGCAGGTGTGATGCTGGGCGGGGCTGTGGGGTCTAGTGGTTACAGCAAGCGCCTGGGCATCAGGGGTCCATGCCTGGGAAAATGTACATGCTTCATTTAAATCATTACTCTGGGGTGGGGCTTATTGACAGAGAGGCTGGGATCACGCATGTCTGTAGGACCAGCGCCCATGTACGTGGCAGAGTCAGGAAAAGAGCCCAGAAATCCTGTTTCCTTGTCCCCCACTCTCCCCACTAGGCCCACCTCTACTTTCCTAGAGCGAGGAGCCCTCAGAATGGCCGGCCCTGGGAAGGGAGGGAGGGAGGGCCTAGCGGTTACAGCAGAGGACGGCTGTCGGGACTAGATTAGTTCCCCGGCTGAGTCCTGCCCGCACTCCTGCATGCGCGGGGGCCAACGTCAATCGCGGCCGGGGGAGGGGGTGCGGCTGGATGGCCCGCAAGGCGACGGAGACAGGACAGGCGGGCTCTGGGGCTGTGCAGGGCACGGAGGGGCTGTCTTCGCTCGGTCGGCCCCACCCGTTACATCTCACGTCTGTGCACATAAGAATAGCAGAGCGGCCCACCCGGCTCA